GCATCAGTTGTGCAATTTTTTTCAATCCAAATAATCTGTAGGACCAATATTGCAGCCATTAATCCCTTAAAGATGTATTAAAGCGATTTTATCCAAGCGTTTTTTTTTTTTCATTCATTCATTTCTTCATTTACCTACTACGAAGAATTTTGTGAAAACATGCTGCAAATCTTATAGCACTTATGTAAAACATTCTCTCTCTGTTTTGTAATGCTGATTGGACGGGTGGGGTTGAGTGGTCCCTTTTGATTTAATATAAATATATATCCGCATGGCATTTTTACAGGTGATGCAATAGCGTTCTCAACCCTCTGCACCCCCTCATAACCAGCGATAACGTGGCTAAATACATCTAAAATGGAAACCTACACTGAGAAAAGAAGGGAAAAGGGGCCAAGGTAGGGCATATAGTGTGTGTGTGTGTGTGTGTGTGTGTGTGTGTGTGTGTGTGTCATTTCCATTTCAGGAAAAAGAAATATATCCTACAGGGTATTATTATTATTATTATTATTGTTATTTGGTATCAATTGAGATAGGCATGCAATTTTAAAAATCTGCTTACCTTTTACGTCTACTGGGACATCCAACTTAGCAATGTCATTGGGAGGATATGGTCAAGTGAACAGTCCAAAAGTTGATCCTCATAAAAAAACTATCCTTCAGAAAACAAATGTGCCATCTACTAGAGAACTGAAGCCTATAGAAAAATCCCCTTACACGCCGAAAACCTGGCTTAGTTCCACTGTTCAATGCAAATCCTTATAAATTCAAGGAAAAGAGTCATCCTGCTTTTGAGAGTGCATTTATCTCGGTGAAACCCATCATCATCGTAGCTCGCTTGAAACGGTGCAGAAATAGGCGAGATGAACACTGGATTAGGGCGTAGATCCAAGACTGACAAACGAACCATTTAGGAAACCATCAGCGATCCCTAGGTACATTCAGTCATCGGTCAGTTAAAAAAACATCATGCTTTGCCTTTATGCACAGCGAGTTTCCATATTCTGAACTAGAGGCGTCGGTAACCACTGATACCATAACGATCCTTCCATGAAAAGGGTTCTATCCCCTCTGGGAAAGTGAGCTAAATCCGATTATGGCTCCCGATAATCCGAGTGACGGTTTAATGGACTACCAATTGATCACAAAGAGAGTGAGGGTCAATGGCAAGAAGGCTAATCAATTGTTCAGCTATCAGCACTTTGTCCGTGTTTTCTCCAGAGGCCCGTCAGTGCGAAGATAGAGTGATGTCTCTATGTCGGTTCTCATAGAATTTTTTGAAATTCAATTTAAATGCATTTACCTAGTAGGTACACGTATAAGTAAATTCAGAATATCCGACTTCGACGTGCCTATTTGCTATAGCCCGTAAATGACTCGTTTCCTCATATATGGTGTAGTGCAAGTAAACTGAACTCGACGACCTCTAAAATTTGATTTTAATTTTTAGAGATGTGTACACAAGCTTTTTTAAAATCAGTTCCTTTGCATTTTAACTACCGTCCTTCGAAAGTGCTCCGACTTCCTGCAGTATGCTCTAAGGTTTTGAGATTCCTTGATATTTTGATGTTTGTACCAGTTGCTAAAATTAGATGCATGTAACGGGTACATCTCATAAATGATCGAAGCAGTTATTAAAATTCCACTGCATCAGCATCCTTACTCCTGCATTACCCCTTCAAACTGATTCCTCCTCCAAATGATTTCTGAAAAACGTTGACCGCAAAATCCCGAGGACTGTAAACCCGTTGTCTCTGAGGCCATTCACTAAAACAGTAGAAAAAAAAGCTCCAAACAATGGAATCCTTATTTACCGAATTACCCTTCTCGTTCTTCCCTCCTCCTTTTAACTTGGCCTATATGTAAGTAGTCAAATGAAAACAGTTCTTCCATAAGAGCGCTTGCCTCCTCGAGCTGAAATCTTCAGCTTTCAAAACATTAGTTTAATACCTTTCGCGGCCTTGTAATTGGAAAGGTCATGATTTCCGAGTCGTACATGTAATTCTCCGAAGGCAGGCTTTAAATTGCGTGATTTCATTTGAACTTCTTCCCCTCACAGTTAGCAGTAAATAACGAAGTGGATTAAAACGTCGAACGCAATTCTCCTGCCTTCGCTCCGTGACAACATTTCGAATTTCAATTAAATTCGTTAGAAAACGAATGCCATCGGACAAACTCGGAAAGAAACCAAATCAGAGTTCAAAACGAAATACAACAGTCCTAAACATAGCAGTATAAATACAAGTACATGTAGTTGAACGTTTACAGCACGGCGTGTATGAATTGATTTGGGAAATGAGAATGAAACGTTTTAAACAACAGGATTGTGGGCATCTAATATAAATGTTCAGTATCCATGTCGAACCCAAGCAATATTCTCCCAGGTTAGTCTATTCACTGCGGTTCATTTTCCATTTATACATACATATCAGTCATATACCCCATGTTTCACGAAAAGTTCGTAATTATTAGATGATCACATTAATTGGTCCGGCAAATTAATCCTACCATACCTCAATTTCCATGTCGTATTTCATCCTCTTGAAATTAGCCCTGCTGGTGTAATTATTGCTTTCAGATTTGAAAAGAAAAATTCAAGCAGAGTTTAATTTAAAAACCGTAAACGCAATGACACTCTAATTGAATAGTCAAGTGGAGTGATCACAATGTACGTTCTTTACATGATAAAAGCCAGGAATGAATCGTTGTCTTGCCCTGCAATGATATGCCACCGAAGACGTGTTTACACGTACCGGGTGGGATCAACGTGTGTATCGAACCAAGATAACACAGCTTCGCGCTATCCCTTCACCTAGTTACATGTACACGATATATTAACTATTTCTACTTCTGTACGCAGAATTTAATCTATTTAAAATAATAATATTTCTACTTCTTGTCCTGTAATTAAACCGAATTTATTATGTCAAACAACGCGTGTATCAATCTGTATTACAAGCAACTCGAGCTACTGCGTATGAACGATCCTCCACTGACAAAACCCCCGGTAGTCTTAAGTTTACATATCACCGCATCGCCACTTGTGTCTTGCCGTTAACACAAACATTTCCCCCTTCCTAAAATAGCACCAGAAACAACACTAGCTGTGCTCAGTGGCAGCAGAAACAAAGCGACATTGATTACAATACCGCTGGTCGAGCAGATCAGTCCGGATTGTTTTCCCAGAAAGTTGAGAGGAGAGTGCGTTCCAGCATGGTCAATATTAAAGCACCACACAGAACATTTGGTTCTCGTTGATGTTTTAATATAAATGTCCTGGAGAGGTCGTTTCGTTTGTTTATTTTTATGAAATATAAGAAAATAATAACAATATGTCGAACAGGCACTGAGGTTTACATGTAGGAGAGGTAAAAGTGTTAGGGGACAGATTGAAAAATAATTATAGTTAATTGCACACGCCATACGAACTTTAAATTTGTCGTTATTCTTTTATGTATTTATATAGAGCGCAAGGAACAAATGTGTGGGAAATTTTATAGTGTTAAACCAACCAAGCTACTAATCTGACGCTTGCAATTCAAACTAAACACGATGAACGTTTCAAATAGAAAATTGAGTCAAACGAATGACTGAATGATACATTTATTTAATTTTTAACTGTTTTTTTTTTTTTTAAATAAAATACAATTGTATTAGAAGGTATATTGATAACCCCCTACGTTGTTCAGCGATTTACTGCAATTATGTAAAAGGCATGTCCCAGTTTATCCACAAATAACGGAGCAGGCCACTAAGACAAACAATAAAATCGAAGAAAACATGGAGGTATCTGAGTAAGAAAAAGTCATGCACTTTTGAGAAACAATGAATCGTTGGCTCATACGCCATAACAATAAAATGATGGTGATATAATAATAATAATAATAATAATAATAATAATAATAATAATAATAATAATAATAATAATAATAAACAAAAAATGAATATATAAATGAATAACATGTATAAAGTGTGTAAATGAAGTAAGCCAAAATGAAAAAATGTCATTTTTTTACATGCTTTTTATGTTGTTGAAGCATCCGCAGAGCACCTACATTTCTATAGACCAAATGTAAAGTATATAATACCCATATATTTACATAAACTAAATATTTACCTAACATGTTTGGTTTCGTACCGTGTGAGTTGTGATCTGTGGAAAAGTACATTACCCGTACTGTATTCATATGGAGCCACGCTGCCAGTGCTTTCGTGTCACGCAATAGAAAACCCATCAATGTCTGATCCAGGGGAGGTGGGGGGGGGCTGACTTCCCTTAGAATTCAGAATAGGGTACTAACTAGTCCGAGGGTCAAATATGGCGACCCAATACAAAGCTTGTCGTCTAATCCGCTGAAAGACACTGACTAGATATCCCGTGGGGAAGTATTCAAGTGGTCGGCCATATTTGACCCTCCGATTAGTTAATCCTCTATTCTGAATGGGGCCTTAGCTTCGTAGATACCCTTTTCCTCATATTAGCCTACCCCAAAATAAATGCACAAAAGAGATAACTTTCTCCTTACTCTTGCACTTCATTATATGACTATTCCTGTTTTAAGCTTAATTTTACTGCATTAGTACTTTAGCTGAAGGCAAAATTTTAGAGGTTGGAAGACCGTGCACTACGGCAAAATAACTTTATTTTTAAATAGACATGCGCCTTAGAATAGGATAGTAGTTAAAAGTACCAACAAGAATATTTTTAAAGTATTAGTAGCACTGACTTATGCTAAATGCAGTAAACTATGTTAATTAAAGGGCTCTGGGAAAACAATATGAACCATGCAGTGTAAAAATAATAACAACGACAATTAAATAGACTTAACCAAATGTAGTCAAGACTAAAGGTAAATATTGATAGCATTTATAACAAAGAAAGAAATAAAACAAATAACTGGCCACTTGTCTTGTTCCAAATGTCAGCATGAATTTATTTAACGAGTTTTTTCACCCGATACAAATATCATATATATTAATTATAATTAAACGATTCCAGATATCATTTGAGCATGTTTACTTCTTTTTCTTCTTCTTTTTTCTTCTCCCCCAGGGCGAGGGACCAGGTGTAGTGGTCACCGCGCTGCTGGATACCGCCAGTGATACCGAACTGGACGTGTTAGTAAGTGTGGACGTCACTGTAGAGGGCGCAGACGACGTTTCCGTCGTGCTGACGACCGTTGTCTGTGTCCCGCTGGTCGCTGTTGTCGTACTTTCTGACGAACTGGCCTGTAAAGTTGTAGAACTAGTTGCTGAGCTTTCAACAGCAACAGTACTTGTAGCAGATTCGATGTTGGATGAAACCTCTGTTACCGCTGACGTCACAGCGCTAGTTGTCGCTGCTGTTGATCCTAACACCAAGTCGCTAGATGTCGCCCCAGTTGTTGTTGTTGATGTAGGACTGCTAGGCGCAGCCTCCGTCGTTTGAAGAGAAACAACGCTGGAAGTCGTGTCTGTGATTCCCGTAGACGTTGTGGCGGTCGCAGGCGCCGGTATAGTCGTGGATGTTACCACACCCAAAACCGTCGATGCCAAAGGCTCGGTTACACTGGTAGCTCCAGCAGCCATGGTTTCTGTTGCACTTGATTGAACGGCGCTAGCAGAAGATGCCGTGGAGGCGGTGTTTGTCGTTTGAGCAGAAAGAGACCCAGAGGTAACAGTTTCTGTGACACTACTTGCACTTGTCGCATCACCCGTTAGACTGGAAATAGTATGACTACTACTACTTCCAGTATTAACGGAGGAAGAATCCGTTTGGGAAATTGAGCTATCAAATGCGGCCGTACCCGCGGCGGATGTCAAACTTATTCTCGTATATGCAGATACAGTCGTAGCAATTGTGTTTGTAGACGGAGAAACAGAGATACTGCTAATTGTCGCTAATAATGCTGACTGAGCAATGTCTGTGCTTGTCACTGCCGAAGTATTCTGCACTGATTGGCTGCTTAGAACGCTTGATGATGACGAGGCTTGTTCTAGTTGGCTGTTTAATGCAGATATTGATGACGTGGTTTCCGCTGATTGGCTACTGAAATCTAACGACATCAATATAGTTTGTGTTGCTTGACCACTTGAATCGGTCGATGGTGACGTGGTTACTGCTGATTGGCCACTTGAGACGGAAAACGATGAAGTTGTCTCTAATGACTGACTATTTGAAGAAACTGCCACTGTAGACGATGGCGGGCTCGTTACGCTGGCAGTGTCACGTGATGCGCCGAAAGAAGATGTTAAAGACGAAGCTGCGTCGGCTGTTTCAGTAACTGACATTTGAGCCTGCACCGAGCTTGTGGTATCACCCAGTGATGTCTCTTTTGTCGTAGCTGGGGTTGTGGTTGGTGACACAAACTGAACTGTGTCTGTTGTTGCAGCATCAATTGTGCTAGTAGTCGCTGCCTGTCCTGTACTTGTTGCTGCAGCCTGAGCAACTGTCTCCGTTGCCAAGCCCTGCGTAACGATTGCTGCTGGAGCTAGGGATGTGCTCGTTGTCGAAGTCTGCGTCGAGCCCGCTGTCTGAACTGAGCTAGTTGGCGCAGCCTGCGTTGCAGTTGTAGTCGAGGCCGTCGTTGTATCCGTTGTTGCAGCCTGCACTGCGCTTGTAGTCACAGCCTGCGTTGTATCCGTTGTTGCAGCCTGCGCTGCGCTTGTAGTCACAGCCTGCATTGTATCCGTTGTTGCAGCCTGCGCTGCGCTTGTAGTTACAGCCTGTGTTGTATCCGTTGTTGCAGCCTGCGCTGCGATTGTAGTTACAGCCTGCGTTGTATCCGTTGTTGCAGCCTGCGTTGCAGTTGAGGTCACAGCCTGCGTTGCGCTTGAAGTCTCAGCCTGCGTTGCGCTTGTAGTCGCAGCCTGCGTCGTACCCGTTGTTGCAGCCTGCATTGCGCTTGTAATCACGACCTGCGTCGTATCTGTTGTTGCAGCCTGCGTTGCGCTTGTAGTGACAGCCTTCGTCGTATCACTTGTTGCAGCCTGTGTTGCGCTTGAAGTCACAGCCTGCGTTGTATCCGTTGTTGCAGCCTGCGTTGCAGTTGAAGTCACAGCCTGCGTTGCGCTTGTAGTCGCAGCCTGCGATGTTGCAGCCTGCGTTGCATTTGATGGTGCAGGCTGCTTCGAATACGTGTTTGCACCCTGCGTTATGGCAGACTGAACTGTGCTTGTATAAGTCCGTGTTGAACTCATTGTTGTCGTATCCATTAGACTTGTTGTTGCAGCCTGCACAGTGCTGGTCGCTGCAACCTGCGCTGTGCTTGTAGTCACAGCTTGACTTGTGCTCGTTGTGACACCTCTGAAAGTGCTCGTTGTTGCAGACTGTAACGCACTCGTGGTCACACGCTGAATTGTGCTAGTTGTGACAGCAACCGTTGTTGCAGTTAGTGATTGTGTTGTGTTTGCTCCAGACTGTGTAGTTATCACTGGAGGATTAGTTGTTGTTGTGGTGGTGGTGGTTGTGCCTGCACCGCCCGTCTGTAGTCCCGTGTCCCCAGTGTTATTTCTCACTAAAAATACAAGAGCGTACGTTTAATGATACAAATATGACAAGTGCACGAAATATTTTCAAGGTAGAAATGAAAAATGGGGACTGACATAACAGGTCGAATCAATGAATTGTAAACAACAGTTATAAAAAAACCCGTTACAAAACAGCAAAATTTTGAAAAAAAATTGCTGAATTACTGAATTTTAAATGAAATTAAGTATAACACAAGTATGAGAAAGTGCGCCAAACCCAAACAAATAAATTATCAGGCTATTCCGTCAAAACGTATATAATATATAATTGAGGGTATAGGGTATAATATAATGAATATTATTCGTAAAGTTATTTTATCCTGAAGGAATATAAAATATTGAAATCTATATAAATCTTAATATAAACTCGTGTTATTGTAATTCCACAGAAAGTCAGCCTTTCAATCAGTTGGTGACGCACCCATTTTTCTTATTAAAAAGAAAAAAGAAAAAAGAAAAAAAAAACACTTTTATTTCACTTTTTGTAAATTATGGTTGATTTATTTCCATATCGAGGTTATCAAACATTAAACAAACAAACAAAAAACGGCACTGGTCAAAATACTGAAAATATTACCAAAATATGTGCGTCATTGACGTGACTCAAAAGTTCAATTTCAGGTAAAATGACCCATATAACTTACCTGCAAAATAGACCCCTGTGCCAACAGCTGACACAGCCGCTATGAGTAACAGCACCGCCAACGCTATCAGTATCACATACCGTGTACTGGTTGAACCCGATCGTCTGCCGCCCCCGTCATAATCCGCCCGCGGCAGGCGCTGTCTGCCATTTACGCCATAGTTTTCGTAAATCGGAAGCGGCATAAAAACTTCATGCGAAGAATTAAACATAGAATCGCTCCGGTGTCTCTCTTTCGATCCTTTATGATGTGAACCTTTGTGATGTTCATGATCATGGTGATCCCCTCGTGCATTCTTCTTGTGTCTCCTTTCCCGTCGCGCTTGGCTGTAATTCCTTGATTCTCGGTCGTGTTTCCTTGGGGGCCGCTTTTCAAACCGTCTTTCTCGGGAATGGCCGTGTCCGTTATAAAATGGCGAGTCGTAGTCGCCCTGGTATACCGGGTTGAATTTACTGCTGACGTCGTAGTACCCGGGGTTGTTAAGGCCCTCGCGACTGTGGTGTTGGCTGGATATCAACTGACCCTGGCGATGACCGATGGAGGAGAGGTACATGTCCTCAGGCCACTGGGAATAGAAAAGAAAATATATGTATTTGTGATATGTTATTTGACACTTGAACTTGTATTGTGTGCTTCTTTTTGTACACACGTCTATATCCCTTCATTTATGTATCCATTGTAGTGTCATATTCATTTTACCCTATTTTATCTTATTCTGTTCTGTTTATTTATTTATTTATTTATTGAGTGAATCGAAGAAAAATGGTGAAAGCAGATGACTTCTTTGGAAAAAATATTTGTCTGATTAAAGAGAATATAAGATATAATAGAATTTAAGGCTGAAAAATACCCACGTGTGTGTGTGTGTGTGTGTGTGTGTGTGTGTGTGCGTGTGTGTGTGTGTGTGTGTTTTTTCATCATCGTAAATAACGAGCAGTATGTTATTTAGAATCATAGGCCTACTTCAATACAGCGCAGCATGAAAATAAGATCGAGGAACATAGTGAGAAGCATTCGATTAGACCGGTCCTCGAGGAAAAACATGAGATCTTCAATTCCACCAACACAGTGTTTTGTTATACATTTTGTCACGTCCTGATAGCAATGTCAGTGTGTCACACAACAGGAAGGTAAATACTTGTTTCGGGGTCTAAGGAGCTTTATGAGGAAATGAGGAGGTTATGACACGTATTTAAAACGTTCACCTGTATTTGGATATGAAGTTCAGATTCGCAGTGAACTTGAAAAGCTTGTCATGAAAAACGTGCCACAAGTGTTTGTTTTTTTCGAGTAACTGCATTATTAAAAGTCTCTCTCTCTCTCTCTCTCTCTCTCTCTCGATAGATATGTTTGTAACCTGTGAACTTGATTACGCAAAACGGATCTAAATGCAATTTGTGTCATTCCATTACGATCCTAGTCACAGCCTCGCTATCGTGCATGACACCGATTTAGGAAAAGAATCTAGTTTAATTTTTTTTTAGTCCAAAAATTATATTACTTTACCAAATATAGATTACTTGGAGACCAATATTATTAACAACATATTTAATAATAATAATAAAAAAAACAGAAAGACGCAAAACAGCATATTTTTCGCCACAGTGATGGTTATATGCAGTGGAGGACATAAAAGTGGCGCGGCTCAGGAAGCAAGACGAATGATATTCCATAGCAGTCCATATGCTCCATACAAATAAATATTATACGGCATGACCTCGCCAATGCAAACGGAGAAACTAATCCTAGTATGCTGGTAGATACAATTATATAACACACGTTAAGAAACTGGGGACCCGTGTAACAGGGAATTCGCCCTCTATTATATTTATACAGGTCAGGGTAAGCATAGCGTAAAGCCCCCTTTACACTGGACGGCGTCCCTTCTGCGTCCAGCAGTTCGGCCCCATTTGAGAGTTAAAGAATTATAATACTTTACGTGCCGACAACTGGCCGATCATTGAGCATTCATTCTGATACCAAATCAATGCTCGTGCCTCCTTATTAAGACCACAGCGATGCCAAATTTCATGGTCGCAGAAAGGACGCCGTCCAGTGTAAAGGGGGTATAAGCTGTTGAAAATCTAGGACGTGACTTACCTACCCTCTACCAGGGCTGCAGATTAATTATGTGCACTTTTTCCATAATCGCAGTGCAGAAAAGTGTCATCAATTAACTAGAGACATATATGTGAATATCTAGTGAAAAATCAAACTGTAGACCTGGTAGAGGGTAGGGCTTGCATGTACCTGTGCATATTAAAGGAAACCGGACTCCGTATCACCGGGGACTCTCTCCTGCATGATTCTATGCTATTTTATTCTATTCTATCAGGCCCGTAGCCAAGGGGGGTTCGGGGGGTTCGAAAGAACCGCCCTTTTGCTTGGAAAAGGTCCACTCTGGGTAAATTTGATCTAGTTACATGAAGTTTTTACAGAAAAAAGGTCCACTTTTCCAGAAAAAGAACCCCCCTTTTGAAATTGCTGGCTACGGGCCTGTCTATTCTATTCTATTCTATTCTATTTTATTCTATTCAGTCCCATAGGCTGAAACAGAGAGTCCGCCATCCACTCTTCCCTCTTATCAAAAACAATGTATAACATTCATACCCCGTCCGAATGGGCAGAGGAGATTAGTATTAATATAAGACGGCAAAGAAATTCATGTACTGCAATTACGCCTCCAGTTTATTCATATGTATGTATTTATTTAGTCATTAATTTATATTTTCTTTCACCGTGTTTACTTTAAATATTTTATTTTTGTTGCGTATGTATGTATTGATTTTATTTCTTCACTGATTAATTTTTGTTACTGGGGGAACCGTCTTTATCTGATATCCCAGATCCCCATAGAGCCAGCACATGTTAGGTTCATAATACTGTACCCCATGTATTAAATAGCACAACCACGTACGTCACTTTAACCAGGCGTATCGTAATGTAAATAAAATTGACAATGGGGAACAACTTCTTTCAGCGCGATACCGGAGCTAATTTTTTTCACCAGGATTTTGATTTACCTGTCTTATGGAACCACCTGGGTAATGGACAAGTAGCTTTAGAACCACCCCTTCACACTTTTTCGCTCAATTCTTGCTGTTCTCGCCCCCTCCTTTACTATTAGTAGTAGAAGTAGTAGTAACAAGAGAAGTAGTATTAGTTACAGTAGTTGTAGTAGAAGCAGTAGCAATAGCAGTCGTAACAGTAGCAGCGGTAAGATAAGATAAGAGTAAGATAAGAGTTTATTTAGCCAATTATAAAAATCGGAAATCATTTTCCATTGGAGCAATATACAGAGTAAAATAATAAAATAATAAATAAATAAATTAATTAAGAATTTAGCTTTGAGATCAAATTAAAATGCGTCACTGCACTTGGATAAAAGCTGTTTAAAAAGCGTTTACTGCCTTTAAAAGTTAAAAGTCTACTGTTGCTTGGTAAAAAAGTAAAAAGAGAGGATGCAGGATGGAAAGCGTCTTTCATGGTGTTGACAATTCTTTTCTCCATCCTGTCCTTAAAAATATCATCCAGCTTGGGGAGATCTTGTCCGATAATCCTGCTTGCAGTTTTTACAACGTTTGCTAATTTCTTCCTTTCCTCCCCAGCTGTTCCGCTATACCATATTATAATTCCGTACGCTAGAATGCTTTCAATTACACACCTATAAAAATTGACTAAAATAGGCACACTATCAGTAAAAGTTCTCAATGATCTTAAAAAATACAGTCTTTGCCGTGCCTTCTTTACACTCTTTACGGTGTTATCTTTCCAATTCAATTTACTGTTAAGGTGTATACCAAGTAGTTTAAATTCCTCTACCCTACTAACTTCATCATTACCAATGGTGAGTGGTACCTTTACATTCTGATTCCTTCTAAAATCCACTATCATTTCTTTGGTTTTAGCTACGTTCAAGATAAGATCATTACTCTCGCACCAGCTTAACAACGACTCAACAGATTCTCTATATGTGGTAGTACATGTAGTAGTAGTAGCAGTGGTAGCAGTAGCAGTAGTAGCAGTAGTAGAAGTAGCAGTTGCACTAGCAGTAGTAGAATTAGCAGTAGTAGCAGCAGTAGCAGTAGCAACAGTAGTAGTAGTAGTAGTAGCAGTAGTACATGTGTATTAGTAGCAGTACATGTACATGTAGGAATAGTGGTGGTAGTATATTTTACTTTTACTGTATATATACATTATTAAATACCAAGCAGAGCACACATATATAAATATATATTTTCTAACTAAAAGAAGAAAGAAAAAATATGTAACAAAACCCTGTCAGTGCCACAAAGAACCACCTTGACACCCGGATTATATGTTGCAAATAATACGTCATTTGAAGATAATATAGCGTGGTGAACATAGCGTTACGGTATACGCCATTAACCTAGCGGCTTAACACAAGGATTTGGGGGTCTATTGTAAATATTAGAATATTGACTAAGTCGTATGTATTGACTAAGAAGCTGGGTATTTATCAGTACCACACCCTTAAGTGAGTGAAAACCACGGGGCGTTTTATATGAAATTTTATTTAATTCCCTACATGACTGGTCCCTTGAGTGGAGTCGATTTAGTAAAAGTATTAATGTTGTGTATATGATATTTTATGTTTGGAGTATTATTTTTTGCAATAAACCATCTTCTCTGTCCATTTCTTNCAAACAAAAAACGGCACTGTTCAAAATACTGCAAATATTACCAAAATATGTGCGTCATTGACGTGACTCAAAAGTTCAATTTCAGGTAAAATGACCCATATAACTTACCTGCAAAATAGACCCCTGTGCCAACAGCTGACACAGCCGCTATGAGTAACAGCACCGCCAACGCTATCAGTATCACATACCGTGTACTGGATGAACCCGATCGTCTGCCACTCCCGTCATAATCCGCCCGCGGCAGGCGCTGTCTGCCATTTACGCCATAGTTTTCGTAAATCGGAAGCGGCATAAAAACTTCATGCGAAGAATTAAACATAGAGTCACTCCGGTGTCTGTCTTTCGATCCTTTATGATGGGATCCTTTGTAGTGTTCATGATCATGGTGATCTCCTCGCGCTTTCTTCTTGTGTCTCCTTTCCCGTCGCGCTTGGCTGTAATTCCTTGATTCTCGGTCGTGTTTCCTAGGTGGTCGCTTTTCAAATCGCCTTTCTCTGGAATGGCCGTGTCCGTTATAAAATGGTGAGTCGTAGTCGCCCTGGTATACTGGGTTGAATTTACTGCTGACGTCGTAGTATCCCGCGTTGTTAAGACCCTCGCGACTGTGATGTTGACTGGATATCAACTGACCCTGGCGATGACCGATGGAGGAGAGGTACATGTCCTCAGGCCACTGGGAATAGAAAAGAAAATATATGTATTTGTGATATGTTATTTGACACTTGAACTTGTATTGTGTGCTTCTTTTTGTACACACGTCTATATCCCTTCATTTATGTATCCATTGTAGTGTCATATTCATTTTACCCTATTTTATCTTATTCTGTTCTGTTTATTTCTTTATTCATTTATTGAGTGAATCGAAGAAAAATGGTGAAAGCAGATGACTTCTTTGG